GGCGGAGCCGTTTTCATCCTTGGCGCGAGGGCGCGGGCTCAGGCGTGCCCAGCGGCCCGGCGTGAGCCGAAGGTGCACACTGGCCGGACAGGCCCCGCAGGCCGGGTGGGGGCCCCTGAGGTGGGCAGGAACTCGGTGGTAGCCGGATTCTAACAGCAGGGGCGGTGGCCTCGTGGCGTCCCCGGCCAGTGCCCTGTGGGTGTACGCCCGGAGACTCCGAATCTCACGTCGCTGGCAGGCCTGATCGTTACATAACAGGCGCTCCACTTTTTAAATGTTGGGCTTAATTCCTAGGGCTTTAGCACATGATACAGTTAAAAGTGCCTATGTGAACTGCACACCTAACCCTTGGGGTGCCAGTTCGGAACCTCTGCAGCAGGTGTCCTGGTAGGAAGGGGCATCTAGGCGGAGCTGCAGACCCATGGAGGTCCCTGTGTGGGGACTTGGGTGCTGGTGTGTCCCGGCACTGCCTGGACTGTGAGCGCAGTGGTCAGCTTCGCTGATAGTGGGGAGTCACCCCCTGCCCTCCCTTTTACTCTGCCCTTTTTTTTTTTTTTCCTCCGGTACCGGGAACCGAACTCATGACCTTGCGCTTGCCAGGCAGGCGCTTTGCCGCTGAGCTAAATCCCCAGCCCCCTACTCTGCCCTTTTAGGGCAGGCACAGATGAGCGGGTGAGGGTTTGGGGGTGGAAGAGGTCTGAGCCTGAGGCAGGGTGAGACATCCTGCTAAAGGAGGCAGGACTCCCCAGATCGCAGCCTTAGCTTGGACCTCCCTGTGCCAAGGCCTGTGCATGGGGCTGTGAGAACAGTTTTAAAACAGAATGAGCATGCAGGAATCGTGATCCTATTACTCCACGGCTTTGTAATTCTTTTTTATTTGATGAGTGTTTTGGTTTTTTTCCAGACAGTGTCTCACCATGTAGTTAAGGCTGGCTTGGAACTCACTGTGTATTGGCCTTGAACTTGCGGTGGTCCTCCTGGCCCAGCCTTCCAAGTGCTGGGGTTACAGGTGTGCATCATCATGCCTGGCTTTGGCTTTGTGGTTCTGAACTGGGATAGGCCTCGAAGGCCAGATACGAGCCTGGGTCCTCAGGCTTTGGTACGAAGTTAGTTCCAGAGAACTAACTGGACAGCAAAAGGGACAGCCTGACTTCCTGGAGAGGAAGTCGCAGTCATCTTGCTCCTCCTGCCTACCTCCTCTGTGCCTGTGGGCTGCCAGGTGCACAGAGATGTGCACTTGCTCTTAGGACACCTTCAGATGATGCGGGGAGGGGAAGCTGAGCCCTGGTGTGAGGCTTTGTGTGGCTGCTTGCCCAGAGAGTTGGGCTGGGAACCCAAGGAGAGGGTGTTCAGGAGAAATCGTGAACGCAGCACCATGGGGGGAGTCTGGGGTTGGCAGAAAGGGAGAAAGTGGGGTGAGCATATGTAAACAATAGACCAGCCTGCTATCAGGGATGAGGCAGGAGGTCAGGGTAGAAGGGCTCTTAGGGCATATTTTTTTGGGCCAGAAGGGATTTGGTGCCGTTTCACAGAAGGTAGTGATTTGCTAGTCATGGGGACTATTATGGTGGGAAGGCCATGCCAAGTGGTACCATCTGTGGAAAATGCCACTGGAGAATGGGTCAAGGGTGGAAAAGCCTTACCCTGCCCCGAACCGGAGGCGCATTCCTTGTGTCCAGGTCTGTGCGGCATTCCTGTGCTCTGACCCCGGCTGTCAGGACCCCAGTCCCTGAAGGATGGATGGGTACAGGGCTGTCTTGCAGGTGGCCCCCTGGTGACAGACCTGCTCTTTGGTAGCCTCGTGGCTGTTCTGCAGTCCAGCCCCACATGTTCCCTTTTACAGTAAAGTTCTAAGTGTCCCCCACAGCCCTGGTCTGTGCTAGGAGATGGCAGGGTGGGTGTTGCTGGTAGGACAGCCAGTCCCCCTCATGTTAGTATGAGAAAGCCCCTGGCCTGTGACACAGTAAGACCTCTTGAGCACAGCTGGCTCTTTGGGGCTTTGGGCTGAGCCAGCTCCTGGCTTCCTATGTCTGCGTCACTGCTGCTGGCCTGTGCGTTGTCTGTGCGTCCTGGGGGTGGGGTTATGCCGGTCCTTCTAAGAGCTGCTAGGTTAGGGTTCAGACTCCATGTGGTTCCATCCTTTCACTTTTCCCAAGGCCACGTTCCTGAGGGGAGAGAGAGGTGCCTGGTTCCTAGATCTGAGAGACTTACATTGACACCATGTTGGAATCTGGATCCCAAACCCGGCAGAGCAGCAGCCACAGTGGCCCACAGGTAGTGCTGCACGTTCCCAGAATGCCATCTGCCCTCTGCCCTTCTACCTCCTCTCCTGTGCCCTTTGCTCTTAGTGCCCTCCTTCCTCTGCCAAGGACCTCACTCTCCCTGTGGTCCTCTTCCAGGCCAGCCTGTGGTCCTCAGGCTTTAGTACGAAGCTGGAGGCTGTTACCCCATTTCTGGGCAAGTATCGCCCCTTTGTGGGTCGCTGCTGCCAGACTTGCACCCCTAAAAGCTGGGTAAGTGGTGAGAGGGCTGCCCCCCAACATCATCTTCCTTTCATCTTCCCTTGCCTGTGCCAGGCCTCAGCTTTTGTCTTTGACGGGAGTGGAGGCACTGGCGCTGGGTGCACTGTTGGGCTGCCAGGGCTGGGCGAGTTGGCTGGGGAGGTGCAGAGGGGCCTTGGGGGAACAGGTGTGCCCAGACAGCTGGGGTCTCGCTGCACACGCTTCAGGACGCCTGTGTGTCCATGGCGGTGCTTTTGCTGAGGGGCAGGGTTCCAGTGGAGAGCCAGGCTGTGAGTCCTCAGAGATGTTTGCATGCTGCTCTCCAGGAGGGTGGTTCTGGACAGCCTGCGGTGCACCATCCCGAGCGAGGGACCCTTTTTCCTGAGCCAGCGTCAGGGTTGGGGTCAGGCGCCTTTTGGGAGATAACTGCTATACGATCCTTTCTCCTAGTAGACTTGAAGGGCTGTTGGGCAGAGGCCAGAGTGCCAGGGCAGGGGCTTCCCTTGGCATGCGGAGGCTCCTCAGGACATACTGTGTCTGCCCCTTGGGCAGGAGTCCTTCTTCCACAGGAGCCTGATGGACCTGGGCTTCTGCAATGTGATCCTGGTGAAGGAGGAGAACACCAGGTAGCCGCGGCTAGTGGGGGCGGTGGGCAGGGCCTTTGGGATGCCGGCCTCTGGGGCCTTGTTTGGGGTGCCATTTTCTATCTGTGCTGGGAAAAGAAGGGTCCCCATCCTGTGCTCCATCCTCACTGTGGGGAGGTGGGCTTGGCACCATCCTGCAGCTCCCTCTGTGAGCGCACGTGCGTCACCCACTGTGTCCCCTCTGGTGGGGGACACTGGGGCTGAGACAGCAAGCATTCCCTCCCTGCTGTGATAAACTGAGCTCAGGTGTTCCAGGGTGTAGCACTGGAGGTGACCCCCTCCTGAGGAGGGGAGACTGCTCTGAACCATCGCTTCCCCACCCCACTCAGGTTTCGGGGCTGGCTGGTTCGCAGGCTCTGCTGCTTCCTGTGGTCTCTGGAGCAGCGCATCCCTACCTGCCGGGATGCCCCAAAGAAGATCTTGGAAAGCACTGGGTGAGGGGAAGGATCGAGGTCTGGCCCCTCTGAAGCTCCTTAGAAGGGCAGCAAAGTCTTGGGGCATGAGGGGTGGAGAGGGCTGGCGGGGGCAGGGTTCCTGGAGTGTTAGCTCTGCAGGGCCTCTCCTCAGAATGTGGGTGCAGACTGCAGGGCATGCCTCCCTGTGTGTGTGTGTGTGAGTGAGAGAGAGATAGAGCGTGTGCCCTGCAGCCCCCTCAGCCCAGCACCTGCTCCCGACCCCCACAGGGTGCAGAGCCTCCTCTCAGGGAGAGCCCCAGGAGGGGCTGGGGAAGGCCGGCCGCCTGCCCTGGTGAAGAAGGAGGTGAGGCGCATCCTGGGCTACATCCAGGCCCCACCCCGCCCCTTCCTTCTCAGGTAACTGCCCAGGGCCACCTGTCCCTGGGCTGGGGCCTCTGCCATCTGGAGAGTAGTGTTGGCTGGGCGTGGGGAGAGCTGGGTCTCTTTGGGGCAGCTAGATGGGGTTTCCTCCACACGGGGTTGCGTGCCTGGTGGGTGTAGGGCACTGTTCAGGGAGTAGGGTGTGAGGGTGTGAAGAGACACAGCTGAGATAAGGCAGGGCTGGAGTGAGCCTGAGAGAACCCAGAGGGAAGGGGAAGAGACAGGTCCTCGAGGGCCAGAGGGGAAAAGAGCCAGCCGTGGGGGCACAGCAGTGAAAGTAGGAGCAGGACAGTCTTACTAGAAGGAAGACACGAGGCAAGGCCCTGGGAAGTGTGGCTGGAAGCTGGCAGGTGAGAGCCACTGGGGATGAGTTTGGAGGCAGAAGGGGTGAGATCGTACAGGGCCATACAGGAAGTGTGGGCTGGATCTCTAAGGGCAGTGAAAACTCACCATGAGGGTTAATAGAGGAGTGCCTGGGGGTCCAAAGTAGGAAGCAGAAGAGCATCTGGAAGTGTCGTGTTAGTCCAGGTGAGAGCCGCTGGTGGGCAGTAGAGGCTGGACAAAGTGGACTGAGAGGTGAAAGAGGTCACATGACTCTGGATGGGTTGGGTGATGGGGCTGGGGCAGCGAGGGGGAGGAAGAAGTCACAGAGAAGCCTTGCTTCAGACCTAGTGCCTGCTCTGCACAGTTGGGTACAGGTGTGGGAGAAGTGAGTGTAGCATAGGAAGGACGTTTTGGGCTTGGAAACTTCCTCTGCCTGACCGAGGACTCCGCTGT